GAGGCGGCGGGCCGGGGTAGCCCCCGGTTGTCCGGGGGGGCGGCGGGCCGGGTGGCTCCGCTGGCTGCCAACTGTTTGAAAGTTGGGGGTATTTGCCTCGGCGCAGCCGAGCACCGGCCGGGGAGGTACTTTCCCCCTCGGACTGGAAAAGAAGGGGAGGAAAAAAACATAAAAAACCCCCAGAAACCAAAACCCCGGCGTCGTTGCCAATTACAAATGCGTGTCATGCTGCTGATGACACATTTGATTGTAATTTTATTTTTTTTTTTTGGTTCCCCCCTCCTCTTGATCGAGACGGCCGTTGAGGCGGTGGCGAAGGTGGATGTCAGGGTCAAGGGGCTCCCGAAAGCCACCCGGGTCGAGTGGCGGGTCAGACCCCTCCGGACCGGGCTCCGGTCACTATCCTTCTCGGAAAACCAGGGAAACCCACCTTTTTTTAATTTCCAGATGCACTATCCACCTCCCCCACCCTGTCGTGCCTGGATGTTTCGGTGTTACCTGGGCTTGACTTGGCGTGTCAGGAAAATGCGTGTGTCGTAGGGTGAAGCCGTGGTTCGCAGTGGGGAGTTTTGGTGGCTTGGATTGATAGTAGGAGCACTTAATGTAAAATGTTTGCGTCTCTATTTCATTGCTATTGATTTTCATGTTTTTTCCCTCCTTAATGTATTTTTAGAAACGTGAATGTGGTGTATGTTCTCGTGTGCTGTGCGTTCAGAGTAGCTAAAATAAAACATACATGGAAAACCCCAGCAAGTACAGCAACGTTTCCATACACAAGACGTCTGAAGCCTTAGTACTTTGCTGCGTTTAGTTATTAATTGCTCGATTTTTGTAATTCATATAGCATGGAAACTAATTGCTGAATTGAGGGTTTACCAAATGTCACGGCACTCCAAAATCATCTTTCTCAGACATCTGAAAAATAAATCTACTGAACTTTTGTTAAGAGGAAAAGCCAAGCACCATTCTGAGAATCCTCTACGTGAAGCTTTTTTTAAGGCAAGCACTCTTGTAAATGAGAAGTAGTGAAGTACGGCTTTAGTCAGTGGCTGCTTAAGTGTAGTCTTAAGTATGCTGACGACCAGTAAATTTCTAGAGGAAATGAAGTCTTTAACAAATCTTGTCTTTCTTCTATCTGTAAGGAGAGGGAGGGAAACAAAAAACCAGTCAGCTCTGAGGTTGATGCCAAATCAATCCTAAGAAGTAACTTGCTCAACATAACCAAAAAACTTTGCAAATGTCTGTTATTTTTCTTTTATGGGGAGTCCTTAAGCTGTGGTCTCTTAAATCAGTATGAAGTGGGCCTACTTCTCCTCTGATACTAGTTTAGCACCAGTGTAACTTCATTAACTTTAATGGAGCAGATTTGCATTAATGTGAAAAGTAATCAAGAAACCCGTATTTTCAGAAGGGCCCCTGTAGTAGTGTGACGTGACAAGCTCTGATTCCTTCTCTCATCAGACCCAATTACGCCACCCTTACTCACGCTGAATGGTACTTTACTGCGCAAGTACTCCCTGCGATGCTTGTATGACTACTTGTGTACTACAGTACCAATCCGGGTGAGGTAGAGTGGCGCTTATTTTTTTGTAACCACTTTTTTTTTTTTTTTGACCTTCCCTTGAAATAAGAATATATTGGATAACTATTTTTTCTTGGGTTTGAAGAAAACTCCTGAGGATTAAATGTAAAGCTGCTGTGTGACTGTACCAAAAAGCCCTTGTTTAAGACCACCAGTGCTACCAGTGAAACAGACAGGTAAGTTTCCTGTGTGTTTAGCTTTTCCTTGTTGCTATGGAAAGTAGGAAAAAGATTGTTGAAAAATTCATTATCTTGTCCTGAAATTCCTCTGTGCCGAGGAAATCCATACCTACTTTTGGTGTTCAAGTTGGGAGGGGTTTTTTTTCCCTTTCCCTTCCTTTTCCAGAACCCCCCCAAACATTCACATGCATTGTTTAAATGTTTGCTATTGAAATCACTGGCAGCAGCATCAGGCCCTCAGTTGTTTTTCTTTAAAGCAGTTGATAATGGTTTGGGTGTGATGTTGTAGAAAGATAATATTATCTGGTGTGTCCACAGCTCAGATCCACCGTCTTTTTTACAATCTCAGAAGAAAACGCCGTACTAAGCAGCCTGTAAAGAAAATATGTCTAACAAAGCAGAACTGTCTTCTGCCTTTATTTTCTTATTTATAAATCTCTTGAAAGTTTGCTTGATACTCTTTCAGAACAAGACACAATTCTTTCATGTTTGTTTCATGTTTTCACTTCCTCCTATGACTGTGTTCATTGCAAAGCTTTTGTGTCACTGATTGAGATGTTATTGTAATTAACATTAATTATGCAAACTAGATTGTTTTTAGAGGCTCTCCAATTCTGTATTGATACTGTCAACTTGTTTGTTTGTTTGAACGAAAATCCACACATTTCACCATTCTCAGAGAAAATAGATTAACCGGTTCCAAATTAATATATGCGTAGGAAACCATAGCAAAATTAAGCTATTTTAGCTCAAACGGCACATTGAATCTTGACAGAGATGGTGAATACAGAACGGTTGGATCTGAAACATCAAGACAGGGTGAAGTGGGGGGGAGCAAGAAAGAGGACTAGATACAGCCATTTGGGGGGGGTGTTTACACTGCACAGTTCCACCATATTCTTTCCACATAGACAGTACTAGATTAATTGGGCCAAATTCTGTAGTCTATAATTGAGCAAAACTCTCACTGAAGTATACTGGAGCTGTCCGCTTGGTTGTGGACTGTTGAATTTGTTTCAGAGAAATGGAGAAAAAAATGGCAGAGTTTACTTCATTTTTTAGCACATTTTGGATTTTAGACTTGGAGAAGATATTTTCCTTTAATTTGGTTTAGAAGGTGTTTTTAAAAGAGAAAAAAACTTACTAAAAATATCTTTGCAATATGTGTTTGCTTATAAAAAATTTCCTATAGCAATGGTAACATTTTACAATTTTTTAATAATGTTAATTATAGTGACATTCACAAAAGTCTCTATGTCTCATTCTGAATCTCTCCCTTGAAACACTTCTGAGTTGAGGAGGACTTTAGAATCTCTCCCTAGAAATCGCAATTGTTGCAATATTTATATGTTGTATTGCTGTGTACTCTCAGGAAGACAAAAAATAGGTGTGGGAAGAAGAGTTTAAATGAGAATTTGTTGTCACGATATCAAATCTGAAAACACATGCAGACTGGTAGATTACTCCCTGTCTTAAAAATTAAGTCTCTCTCATTTCCCATTTAAATAAGCAAAATTTGGTTGGCAGTTTGCTTTGGGTAATGAAAAAGAGGGTTTTTTTGTTTCTACTTTTGGTACAGTGGTCCTCTGGAAAGTTAGAAACAGTGCCCTGGGGCTTGGCAAAGTGGAGGGTGTATAATTATATGGGAAGGCTCCATAGCATCACTGAATTAGCATTAGTAGCTGAGTGAGTTTGTTAAGCTGTAGAGATGGCATTATGGAAATCAATAAAATGCTGATTCCATGTTAAAGAAGATGCTATTTGTTTTTCTGCCTTCCACATAGGCTTGCCAAACCATTAGTTGATTTGGAAAGGCAGGTTCTTCAGTTCAGACAATAAGTAGTCAGATTTTTATTTTTTTTTTAAATCTCTCTTAAATTTTTATTTATTAGATTGTCTTCCAGAAATCACACTAACATCCTGGCCTGTAAGTGGCTTCAAGTGTGTCTGTTTGTCAACAGAGGCAAAAGTGAAGGTCACTTATTTTTCTTATGACATGCTGGTGTGGCATTGTTTGTTGTAACTCAAATGCTGTGTGTTCCTGACATCCCTGTTTCAAATTAAATTATCTCGAGTGTTTGGAGGGTTCTGATGAGATGTGCTGAAATCCATGGTAAAAATAAAAGAGAAATAGTGACCTCAACTGTTTTCGTAGATGTGAGTCAGGAGGGCTGATATTAATCACTGCAAGATCCATAATATGCATTGGCCTTTATTTCTTTGTCTCAAAGCTTCTCCTGCTTTCATACTAGAAAGTAACCAGATCATTTATCATATTAAGCGCTTACAGAGAAATGACAGATCGACAGCCTTATGTTGAGCACTATGTAACATATATGATGCATTAAGTTCTGATGATCCATGTAAAACATTTTAATTGGGAGGAGCAGTAAATGGGAATAGCTGTTGCCTAATTCAAGGACTTTATGCTTTTTTTTTCTTCTTCCCGATTGAAATTAAACTGAAGTTCATAATCAATTTTTTTTATTTTAAAATGTCTGTATGCTGTGACCCTCAATAAAATACTCTGAAACATTTTATTCAAGCTAAGGTACGCTAAGGGCTTTGGGGGAACCTCCAAACATGTCTGCCATAGTGGTGGACAGCATAACTGATGGTAATCCAGTAGATTTTATGGAAGGTGGACTTCACAGGAAGGTCCAACTCAGCAGCTTCTTCAGGGACACTGCAGCAAGCATCTGTTTTGTGACATGTGAGTGGCGTATGTACAGAGTTCAGGTATCGTGAGACGTGCAGAGCATGTTCTTGTATGAATAGAAACAGTTCAAAATGCTGAATTTGATGCAGGCAACAGTAAAGGTCACCAACTTGGAAAATTAATAATATGGTTCGTGTTGACATTTCAGAGGGAATTCTGATGGGGGCGTGGTTCTAGTGAATGTAAACTTGCCAGCCCG